TTTCCTACCTTGCGCAGACACCTCCCTCCTTCTTCTCCATCTCTCTCCTGTCCCGTCTTTATTTCTCTTCTGTTGCTCTCTCTCCCCTCCTTTCTTTCCTTTTCTGCACTCCTCCCTGAGTGACAGCTCAATACCCAGCTCTCCCAGGCTTATCTAGCCTCAGCAGATGGTTGACTTGGATCACTGTTCATACGCCACGATCTGGGCTGGTGATAAAGACTGTTACAGAGGGAATATATGCTATCTCTGTCAGGCTCGCTCTTTCTTCCTTTTACTTCTCCTCTTGATCTGCGCTGTCATTCTCCCCCTCTCCATCCAATTCTTTTTAGCTTGTTTGCTCTGCGCTCTTTCGATTTCTACCTGGACTCTTCCCACTCATCTCCTTGTCGTGTCCTCCACCTTTCTCAGCTGTCCTCTTTGTCCCGCTCCCCCTTCAATCTACCCCTCTGTGACTCCTCATCTCTCTCCCATCCCTCAATCTCTGTGCATTGAATCTGGTGCTGCGTGATTGTCTCTGCTTCCCTGCTGGGCTGGCGCCTGTCTAAAGGGCCCCAGGACCCTCACACACTGAGGGGGCTCCAGCCATGCCAGAGATCCCTCTCCTCTCGTTTCTCCTCTCCTTCCCTTTCAAAAAAGTCGAATGGTGTCTTTCTTTTACTTTTGCAATGTATGAGTTGCATACAGCATGTGTGAGTTTCAAACAGTGTGCCAAAAAGAACAGTTAGTAAACAGGTGAGATGAAAGCGCAGCAGTCTATACTCACATCCACACTGCTGTCTTTATGCGTTTAATTTATGTGATCACTTCACTCGGGCCACTGATGTACACTTCAAAGGCTGCTGCTGCCCATTTTATGTATGCTTCACTTGCTTGGTTTGGTCATTTGATGTCCTCCTCACATATTTTTCTTCTAATTCCACGCAAGCCAAAGGAGCAGGGTATAGCTGGCACTGCTGGGGGAAAAAAGGGTTGGGGGTGGGGGGCACATGGTGGCGGGCAGTGATATGAATGAGAACATACAACAGACTGGCGAGGACATCATTTGCACGCGCCATACATTGGACCAACTCTGTGATGAATGCCGGCGTGGCACACGCGTAGAAATGATGCTGAAATTCATATAAACAAGAACGGTGATGCTGCCGTGGGTACATATGGAGCCCACCGTCCCGTGTGAGGTGGAAAACCTCCCCTCCTTGCGATTTACTAGTGGCTCGCCTGCTCTCCAATACTCCAGACAATTCAAGGCCATCTTAATCTGAACGGTGGAATCTGGCAACCACTCCTGAGCACCTGCATCCGTCCAGCCTGACCCGCTTTTGTTCTGGTCCGACCCCCTAACTTTAGCCCCTAATTAACCCAACAGAAACTAATTAAATACAGCTCTAGTGGACCAGACGCCAGACAAAAAGAGAAGGGAAAAAAAATCGAAGAAGGAGGAGAAGAAGAAGAAGGAGGACACAGGGAAGTGAGCAGAGTGAGGGGAGCAAGCCAATGTGACAGGCAGGAGCATGAGAGAGGAAGAGAGGAGGGGGTCCAAAGTTTGGCCTCAAGCCCCTGAGAGCGGTTCAGACAGACAGGAAGACAGGCGGAGAGATTTGAAAGAGGAGGGAATTCGGGTTTCAGTGTCAACCCTGAGTTGTCTTTACCGTGTTCTCGCTCTACGCTGATCTCCATACTGACCTTATGCTTCTTTTACATGCTGTCATTTTTTTCTCCAGATATTTTGGGTTCTTCCTCATAGATTAGCACGTCTGCCAACTGCTGTAATCACAAGCGCACCAGTCACATGACGCAACTGACACCCCGGAGATATTTGGAATAGGGGAGAGCCACGGAAAGACAAGAGCAGCGTGCAATGAAAGCAAGGCAAGGAGGGAAGAAAGGTGGCGGTGGCTGCGGCGGTTGTGGTGGTGGTGCGGGGAGAAGGTGTGGGACAGGCTTGTGAGAAAGAAGATAGGCCTATAAAAATATGGGTTCAAACCAGCCAAATGTCTCTGGCAGAGACGCTGCTGCTCCTCGTCCCAGCCACGGCTCGCCTAAGTGATAGAGAAAGTAATTAAGAGAAGCCTGTTCAAGTAGATAGGCCTGCAAAGGAGATTTGAAGAGGGGAACTGATTGTGCATGTCTGATTCCAGCTCTTCAGAGAGTTCTCAGCCCCAAGGCTTAGCTTTAAAAGAGACGTCTCTCTCTCTCCCTCCTATCTCGGCCTCTTTCTCTGTAATGTATATTTATACGTAAAATATGACTCCCTTTCAAAACTCGCGTATGTTCATGGCAGCTGTGTAGGACGGACAACGACTGAAAGATCAATCCGTGTTAGCATGAAAGAGCAAAGTCAGGCTCTCTAGCATCTAGCGCTCCCACTTAGACCTTTTGTGTCATGGTCTGGTTGTGGCAGGCCGACTGGACTCAACTGTGTCTTTGTGAGAAAGCGATCCACTTCAGAGTACCTGGAGCTACAGCTGGAGGGCGCTACAGAGCGATACTGCTAGACGATTTTCAAATCCTTGCCTCGTTTTGGTAAAACTGTCCACAGTTTGAGCAAATATTAGTCGGGCACGTCTTTGTGAACAAAATGTGCAGTATAGTTTAAATTGTGTTCTGTGGCCACAGGTGCAAGCCAATAATTTTAATTTTGGAAAACATATTTATGGAAGTTGAGAGGAACAAGAGTAAGGATATATGGATGCAGAGGAAAGACACCTATATGTGTCTTGTGGAAACTATTTAGTCATCAACACAGAAGCTGAATTTTGATGCGTGATTTAAAGGGTTTTTGGAAAGGTACGGCAGGTCACAGTGTTTTTGCTGCAGATTTGAATTCATTTGAAATTCCCTCCACTTAAGATGAGTATAAATGTTGCAAGAAATCTGCCAGAAAAACTGAGAAAAAGCTGGAGTATCTGTCAAGGTCTACCCTGAGGTAAGGAAGAGACGTAGAGCAAGAAGAAACATCCAAAATGTTGACCATCGATTACAGAAAAAGCAGGACTTTAACCCTGGAGAAACCATGGGGTCAAATTTGACCCCATGGTTTCCCTAGAAAACCATTGGGGTCGGCTCTGACCCCATGGGTTCTCCAGGGTTAAGGAAAAGAAAGCAAACTTTCGTGCTGGCAGGCAAGACAAATATGATGCTGAAGATGGAGCTGCCAGGCAGAAGGAAAAGAGGAAGACCACAGAGGAGGCTCATGGATGTAGTGAAGGAAGACATGCAGAGGGTTGGTGTTACAGAGGAGTGTGGTAGGGATATGGTGAGTTGGAGGAAGATGATCTGCTGTGGCGACCCCTAAAAAGTAGCAGCCAAAGGATGAAGATGTAACACATACACTGATGGTTGATTTCACCCATTTTGTCTGTTTTGAGATTAAAAGACACATCTCATTTATCTTGTTAAAGAACACCTTGTGAAAAGGATAAGCTTTATGTCTTTGACAAGAGCTAAGCATTACAGTTTTTACAGCTCTTAGAATGAACTCACCCAAAACCTTTGATTCAAATAAATAAGTCATCACCACCAAAAACAACCTTACAGATAAGGGGAGTCAACATATATAAATATTTGGTCAGAATCTGTGTGGATACTAGAAATGCATAATTTATCTTCTCGTTTCCTGAAGTTCTTGTCCTATGAATTCCTGCTGACACTGAATAATTAGAGCACTGTACTGCTATTTTAAAAATATCAAAGTTAATACTCTGTAATGTGATGCTGATTTCAGGCTTACCTAAATGTGTGTGTTTTGTGAGGGGAAAAGCACGTGGTGACACAAAGATGTGTAACACAGTTACCAGGGCATGAGGAGCATCGATACTCAGAAACAGGTACTGTGGTAATAAAACATGGCCCATTGTGTGCAACAGAATAGTACAGTAACAACATTTTTCAGAATCACTTGACTTCCTGTCGCTACATTTGAGTTTCAGTGACCTCACACTTTGTGTTCACCCTCACAGTGTAACAGGGGAAGGACCCCTGTGCAGTCTTCTGCGTTGTTGTCTTCTCCTTCCTATGCTGGCACACAATCTCTCTCCTCTCGCTCTCCACAGGCAGGCTGCTGCCTCCTGTAAAATTTTTGTTTTTGGTTGTTATTTTCTGGGGGGGTTTCTTGGCACATGATATCACAAACTCTGTTCCAATACTCAAACTCATGACTTGTGCACCTGGCAAATTTTATCTGGAGATTATTCCTCTAATGTGAGCCTAGACTATTTTGATTACAAAGACAAATGTATATAGGTTTTGTGGTTGAGCAGGTGATCCGTATGCCAAAGGCTGCTACTGAGGCTTGCCCCAGACCATTTCCTGCATGTCATTCCCTCCACTCTTTCCATGCTTCTCTGTCAGCTCTCTGTACTTTTGTGTCTAATAAAGGTTAAGGAAAAATGAAACCTTAAAAGGAAATAAACGTAATAAAAGTGAAAGAAGAATATGAATATGTTCCTTAGTAGACTAAGGGAAATGGTTAAATGTAAATATAAACAGAAAACAAATTATTTTGTATTATTATCATGTTGAGTGTAATATGAACCGCTGCAGAGTTGTGGTTTTCCTGCTTCACAGCATCCTGGGAATGATGAATTAACAGCAGCCTACAGTATGCTTCTGGAAAGGACAGTAGGCCATGATTGGATACTACTGGACATACACGCACAAACTTGCACCATCTTTGCAGGATGAAGCGACAAACTGGTCGAATAGCGACATCTTGTGGAGAAAATGCAGTGTTGCTGTTGTTGCGCTTACAAAACTATTCCATATGCTAAAGCTTCGGTTTGGCGCCCTCTGCTGGTAAGGAATGATATGTTCTTGGGTTTAACGGGGCAGCAAAAGGACGTCTTCAGTCACCTTTGACTTATCCAGTGTTGAAGAGGTCTGCATTACCACAATGTTGTGAGTACAGTGTGGCAATGCAGGGTACGACACAAACATATGTATTATTTAAAGCAGACAGAACATAAAGGCGAACAGAAGGAGGTAAATATCAATATTGACTGGTTAGATAAATTTGACAAACAATATAAAAAGTTTCACAAGGATGACCAAAAAGAGGCTCGGGGGGCAGGGGGCAATGGAAGTGGGGAAAAACCGTACAACAGCCATGCTTTACACTACTGTCGTAAAACGTGTATGAATGCCGTTGCAATGGCGTTTGCTGCGACGGCACTTTGCGGCAGCAGGGAAATCGAGGAGAAAGCAGCGACAACCATCGCCAGCGGAAACGTTATCGCCCCAGAAAACCCTGGATTTATGCAATATTCGATTAACTAGCTCGTACATTGGTTGTATATGCCTTCGCCTTGTGGATGAAATTGTGTTCAACGTTTTCCAAGTGTCAATCACCACCTTAATGCAGTGGGATGGCCACAGTGCCGCCTGGGCCTAGTAGCGCACTGCCTGCATCCCCGGCTGAAATTCCTCTTTTCCCCGCGGCTGGGAGCGCGGAACCGGCGGTGGAAGACGGCGTGCCGGCGTGCCACGGGGAGCAGTGTGTGCCTGCCGGTACAGGGACGAAGTCTCAGTCGGTAAACGAAGTCAAAAGGTCGGTCAAGAAGAAGCAGAAAAACATGCTAGCGCGAGCTAGCCCGGCGGCGCTTCACCTCAAAATGCAAGCCCGAGAGCAGCAACAGTTGAACGGCTTGGCAAGCCCCTCAGAGGACCCTGACAGTCACCAGCACGTAGGAAACCGGCCTGACAATCCCAGATCGTCCGTAGACAACTGTGACAACAGCATTGGCAGCAACGAGGAGGCTCCTGCCGCTAGGAACAATAGTGAGCACTGCCAACACGAAGGCCACAGCCCCTGTTCCAAAAACGGCAGTCACTCTCCTCATGGTAACAATAGCGTGAACGGGATGCCGGGTTTCACTACAGCTGAGGCGGCCTGCGAAGCGGGAAAAGAGTTGGACCACACGCCGCCCTCTAGACCTTCGAGTGACGAGCAGCCGGACGCTGCTGGGCCCGGCGGTGAGGAGAGCCAGGCTGACCTGCAGCAGCCGCCGGCCGAGGAGCTCGCCCGGCTCGACTTGAGCGATTCCCCCGGGGATAACCACGGCATCCGCTATGTCCGCTACGAGTCTGAACTTCAGATGCCGTGGATCATGAGACTGATCACCAAGGACTTATCTGAACCTTATTCAATTTACACGTACAGGTACTTCATCCACAACTGGCCGCAGCTCTGCTTTCTGGTAAGTAGTAGATTGAACGCACCGCTCACAGTTATGAAGTCTGACTGGTTACTCTGAGTTGCAGGAGCATTATAGGAGTTGGGTGTGACAGCTTTGTTTTTCACATCCAAGCCTGTCACAGCTGACCTCCACTGAAGCTAAAGCACACACATGTCAATAACATTTCAGCTCATAAGCTTTGTTTCCATTTTACTGCTGGCAGGCAGTAAACAACCTGTCTTCTGCTGCTACAGATCCAACATTGATTCAGTTTTTTAGGTTATTAATGAATCAAGAAATGTGCCAGCCCACTCATATGTACAGATTTGTAGCATAAAGAAATTATAAAATCCTAATCGTCAGTATTAGCAGAGAGTAATGTGCCTTAGGTTTCCTTCTGCATGTGCTGTGTCATGGTAGCATTTTCTGCTTTGAAAACACTGGCCTGCCTTCTTTTCATTCTGTGGCCATCAAGGTCCAAAACATCCCATTTCCAGTTTTGGCTGGATCACCACATGTGACAGAAGAGGAAGTGCTATTTAAAAAAAAAAGATAAAAAGGTCAGAGGTCAGCACGTGGAGCCAGCTGAACTGGCAGGATGACAGGAACTTCAGAGGAACGGTTGCTAGGCTGTCAGTGGCCACCCCAGTGGACACTCGTAACCACTGAGCGTGTATTTTTTGCTGTGTGCATTTCTCGCAGGCCATGGTGGAGCAGGAGTGTGTCGGAGCCATTGTATGTAAGCTTGACATGCATAAGAAGATGTTTCGTCGAGGCTACATTGCCATGCTGGCCGTGGATTCGAAACACAGAAGGAAAAGCATCGGTGAGATCTCGGCGCTCCTCTTCAGAATATTCAGTCTCTCCCTTCACCGTCTTCTCTGCTGTCCCGGGCAACCAAATCTCTTTATGCAAATGCACCGTTTAGATAGACTCTGCACTCAGAGTGATGAGTAACATTATACTTTAATATATTGGAGATGGAGACCATACATGGGTTTAGCTTCTTACTTAGAGTCCACTGTTTTGTTTCAGGTACTAATCTGGTGAAAAAGGCCATCTATGCCATGGTGGAGGGCGACTGCGACGAGGTAAGCGAGCTAGACCCAGTGGCGCTGTTTATGAACCAAACTTTAACACATTTGCCCACATTACATAAGAGCCATTATTCAAGCCAGAGTGCCAGCATATTCAGTCGTACTGTGAAAATATGCATCCTACATAAAATCAATAGTATAAGCACATGTTACACTGTTGGCATTCCATTCTAAGTTGTAGGTTTTCTGAAAGGAACACAAACCGAAAGAGAGAACATTTATAGCTGTTTAAAGCCGTTTTTATTTCAAGGTCCAGTTTTCCTGGGCTGTCCTTCACTTATCTAAACTAGCTGGTAACCTTGATCTTCTACCATAAACTATTTCATATGCTCTGCCTCTCCCTGAAAAGCCAAACATGCACGCTGCTTCCTTTGCAGACTTTGAATTCCTCTAGAAGATGAAACATGTGATACAGCGTTACGATTTCTTCAGTCTCTTTGCTGGTTGAGACCAAAGAGCTGACACTCTGATACAACCCAGCAATATCCAGTGCTTTGAATGTGTACACACAAACGGTACATGTTTTTATAGGATATGTTTTTACTTATTTAAAAAAAGAAAAAGAACAAGCAAATGTGTGGGTGGGTCTTTAGTGTCCTGTGCTCGTGCTTTCTATCCAAATATCTTCTCTTATAAAAGCAGTGATTTGCAATAGCAACTTAAATATTGCACCTACAGCTTGTTAGCTACCAAGATATAACACACAAGTAAGGTAGGTTTAGAGTTTGAGTATTTATTGGTCACAGTTGCAGTTGAAGGTTTCTAAGGTGAGGAAACGCTGTCACTATATACTGTACAAGTGCATATTGATGTCTAAAGTGTTTGCTGTCCCCTGAAAATATTTCAGCTGTTAATTTCATTTCATTTGTATAACGTTAAATCACAGCAAGAGTCACCTCAGAGACCCCATGATAATGCAGAAAATACTCCAACAGCCTCTTATGAGCAAGCACTTGGTGACAGTGGGAAAGAAAAACTCCCCTTTAACAGGAAGAAACCCTAACTATATATGCTTTATTAAGAAGGAAATGTTAAACTTAAAAGTAGAGACTGTCTCCTGAATCCAAATTGGGAGCTGGTTTCACAGAAGAGGGGCTGAGAGCTGAAGGCTCTGCCTCCCATTCTACTTTTAAATATTTTAAATATCCTAGGAACCACAAGTAAGCCTGAGAGCGAAGTGAAGTGCTCTGTTGAGAGTCTTTAAGATAAGATGGGGCCTGATTTTTCAAGACCTTGTATGTGAGGAGATGGATTTGAAATTTAATTCTGGATTTGACAGGGGCCCAATAAAGAGAAGCCAATATGGGAGAAAAATGCTCTTTGCAATGTTTATAGGAGTCTTATCCTGTGGATTTGCTGGACCTCCACTGTCTTGGACTGGGCTGTTTCTCAAATTAGTAGCAGATGTACCAGCTTTTCATCTGTTCTGGTTAGAGTGGCTAATATTGAGGACCACCACAGTGGTGACTGAACAGCCCTCCTGTCTAGAAAAGGCCTGGAGCTAGCAGGTTAGGAGCAAGGGAGTGAGGTTTGTTTAACAGAAAATCAGTCTCGAATGGCTGAAAAATGGGGACAAGTAAAGGCAGTGTATGGTGAAAAAGAGAGGAAATTTATGTTGATCCCATGATGGCAAACGAGTTCATTTTCAGTATTGTTAACTTTTTTTTTTTTTATTCTTCAGGTAAAGAGTTCAAGTCCAAACAATCACGAACGACCAAATAACGAGTACAGGCTCCAAAATTCAGTCAGCTCACTCACGCACTCATTTGTGTGTTCCCAGGTTGTTTTGGAGACTGAGATCACCAACAAATCAGCCCTGAAGCTCTACGAAAACTTGGGTTTTGTCAGAGACAAGCGGCTCTTCAGATACTACCTGAACGGAGTGGACGCGCTGCGGCTCAAACTGTGGCTCCGCTAGCAGAAAACAGAAGGGATGGGAGGAGGACGGGACAGCAGGTGCTGTTCACCTCGAACACTTATCAGCTTGACGGCCTCAGCTCTGCCCTGGTCATTTCACTCTTATAGTCACACATACAGACACCTACACACACACACACTTACACATATACCTGTGTCCAAGGAGTATGCACATAAGTATGCATAAAACAAGCAGACACACCCTCCTTTTATCCTTGACCTCTGAACAAGCGTTTAGGCAGAAATGGACTGAAATCCCACCAGGTGTTACACGACGGGGGGGTCTCCCGCTGCCTTCTGTGACAAGGGCGGGGCGAGTGAGGGTGACCTCATTGAATGGGGGACATTGCAACCTTGGAAGCTCGGGGGCGCCTGTTCGACCAGGTGTGAGGCAGCTCAAGTGAGGATGTGCATCCAGACTCCACCCCCTACAAAAAAATAACAAAACAAAAAGGACAAGGCACCACACCAAAATCCTGCAGAACCTGGGACAAAGCAGACTTTTAAAAAACACAAGGAAAAAACTTTAAAAAAAAAAAAAATCATCACCACATGAAACAAGGAAGTGGAGCGGTAAACACAGACTGGGAAGATATTTGTGGAGTTCATTTTTGTTTTGTTTTCTCTTTTTTTAACCTTATATGTTGGGCAGGGGGACGGAAAAAGCTATAGTTTGTGTGTTTGTACCGCCTGGTGTTTTTCAGAAAGCAAGTGGCTTTTGTTTTTTGTTTTTGTCATTTGCCGTTGGTTTCACTGTGAGCGAGTGAAGAACACGTTTGTATGACTGCGCGTGCTTGGTATGTTTTTGTCTCCCCATCCTGTCCAGCAGGTGCAGCACCCCCTCCCCCGTTGCTGCTGCTGCTGCCGCTGCTTCCATCACCTGCCTCAGCCCCCAGGACTGAAGCCTGTAAAGATATGCATGCTTTTTGTTTCAATGTGAGTGCGGGAATAAGAGCTTGTCGACTAACTCAGACTGAGGCCAATCCCCAACTCCCTCTCCAAGAAGCCCATCCTGTGTTTGTGTACGCATGTTGGCGCAGAGCAGCTGATTGAAACAAATCACTCCATTAGCACCTCAAGCTTTGCCCGACTCGTGGACCGTTTTAAGCTTCGGTGTCTTCATCGTCAAACCTAGACAGGACGTGGGTGAGGAGTTTTTTTTCTGTTTGCTTGTTTTTTTGCAGATCATAACTTATTTTTTCTCCCCAAATGCACTGACAGCTACTGGAAAATCCCCCCCCCTCTCAAAACAAAAAGGAGAATACAGCATGTTTAAAAGAGACTCCTCACCAATGATGGTGTGGTCCGACCTCTCCTCTCCTACTAATTTGCAATATTAGCCTGAATCTCCTCGTCGTGAGTGCCACTCAAACCTATCAGCGCCGACAGCCGCGGCCACAGCGATCTGCCCGCTGAGTGGGCAAACCTCTGCAGCCGCTTCCGGTCCACCAAAGCGCGAGATCCGAGACAAAGTGTTACGTATGCTGGATTCCTGTATGAGTGTGCTGTGTGCGTGCAATTTAAATTAAAAAAAAAAAAAAAAAAAAAAAGCGAAAAATTGAGAAGTATTCTTACCAGATTATATTTTATTCTTTTGTTCACTTTAACTTTGTTTCCATTTGTCTACTTGACACCTGTATAACCTCATGCCGCTCTCAAGCGGCCGAGTCCACAATGCACTTCCCGGGCGCGTTAACCCGACGCACCGCCAACCTCGCTATAACATTCTAAGATCTCCTTTCCTGCGAACGGATGTGCCCGGGCAGTCCGACGACACACTAAAGCGGCAAAGAAAGCTCGCTTGAACAAAGGTCAGATGCACTTCTTTGGAAATTTGCTGCAGTGTGTATGCGTGAGTATGAATGTGTGTCTCCTGCTGTTTTTGACAATGGTATGGATCATGTTCTGTTAGACCTTTACATCTCTACTTTCAGAGTCCCCCACCCCACCCTGTCCCTGCCCCGTACAGGAAAATCGAGCCTCTAAAAGGTGCTGCCATTTTGTTCTGGCCTTATAAGGACAACAAGAACTCCTTGTTAGATACAGGAAGGAACAAAAAAAAGTGGACCTTTATTTTTCAGGAGTAGGGTTAGTGCTTGGTGTTGTAGCGAAGGCAGAAAGACGGATTGCAGTGGTTGTTGATGGGCGAAAAAACCTCTTTTTTTTCACAGGTTGCAAATGCAAGAACAAATTATGCAATTGGGCATCTGTGTGCTTTTTCTCCACAATATTGAAAGTAGAAAGCACCACAGCGGGCTGCCATGTGGCACTATTTCAATTCTTTCTTTCTTTTAAAATCTGCTGCACCAGAACAGACACATGCTTTCAGCAAACATTCACAGGGAGTTTTAATGTATTAGGGTTTATTCCCCCTTTTTCAACCACTGAGCTGAGCTGGTACACCCCCAGGAGCCGAGGACTGGAAGGGAGAGTAGATGTTTACAGAGTCGCCACCCACATAATGGTCTGTCTATGTAAGTTTGTGTCTGTATGCATTTGGAACAATGGACAACTTTTGTTTTTTCAGATTTGTATACGAGTGTTCTTTACGTTGAATATATTGAAAGCATGTTTTTTTTTGTTTTTTGGTCATCTGTTGGGTTTGGGGCGAATTGTGTTGATTTATCAGATTTGATTTTTATCTTTAATTTCTGTGCTACTTTAACCCCATCCAGAGATGATGTGAAAGTACAAAAACAATCTATAGATCCCCGAACGCCAACTATTACCTTTGCTGCTCATCAGACACTGTTTAGATTTTTATCAAACTACTTGTGGTTTACTCTGGAGGTCCCACCCATCTTCCTCATTCAAACAGAGGTGTTTTCAGTTTTGAAGGAACTGGGTCTCTTTGCCTCAGTCATGCCAAACTGTCGCGGTTCCATTAGGGTATATATGGGCATTACAGCCTGCCACAGTGGCTGTGTTCAGATCACGCTCACAGACCGAAGGGCTTCGTCATCAATAATCAGTTTGGAGCTGTGCCTTGTGGCGTTGCATCCATTACCCAGTTTTCTCTCAGAGACTCAGTTTTGCCCTGAAATGACATCAGAAACAGTTGTTTTTTTTCCCCCTCCCCTCATCCTGATCATCCACTGTGCTGTCATGACCTCGGGTGACTGAAATCCTAAATTTATAACCCTTAATTTCTCAGTTGATGTAAGTTCATTGATCAGATAATTATTATTAGCATTTGTTTTGGCAGTCGATGTGTGACACAAAACCACACAAGCGAGCAGCTGGTCCACAGGGGCTTTCTGCAGCCTTTCTACCATCTACGAAGTGTGAAAAGAGGAGAGCAAAAGTTTTGTTTTTCTTTTCTTTGCATGTCTGTTTTTCTCTGTTCCTCTTCCTGTCCCCTCTTGATTTATTTTTGATCCGGAAATGTCCAATAGCTTTTATTTAATGTGGAAAAAGAACACAGAAATAAATTATTAGATTTTTTTTCTTTTCTTTTTTTTAATGCTGTAAAACTGGGTTGTCTTGTCTGCTGTCTGAAGCGGCTGTATCTGTGTGTCAAAAAAAAGAAGTCACAATCAGACATCAAAAAGAGCTGTTTATTTGATCACATCCACATCAAGAGGGGGGAAAAGAGTCTACCATTTTACATCACACATACCCTAAAACAGTATTATATTGTATAAACAGGCATTTGTTCATTAAGCATGTCAGATGGTTCATGAAGTTACAGAAAATGTTTTTTTTTTTCCCAAACAAAAGACACTTTATTAACATTGGGATAACAAATGTGCATCAAATACCTAGAACTGCTTTGTGCCTCTTTTCTGTCTGGACTGCAGCAGAGAAGTTTCTTGAATTTATCTTTCAAAAACGAGATTTTAAACTTAACCTGACTTCTGCTCATTTTATCCAAGCAAGGTAAAATTCTGGTTCGAGAGCGTCCGACAAAACCCTTCACGTCAGCAGCAGATCAGCACACACGGAAATATGAATCTGCTTTCTTGTCTCGTGTTTGTGCTCTTCCAGCCAATAGGAACACTTAATTTATGGGAAATCTCTGCAGCAAGTCGGCGTATGTATCGACTGAAGCTCAGTCATGCACTTAGGGACAAAAATGGAGTTGTAAGTGGCAGTGAGTTCATATCGCATTATGCTACATACTTTTATAGGATGGTGGTATTTTGCACGTGTTTCTCACAGTAACTAATATGAACAGATGCCTTTCAATAAAACGTTTGCATTTGCACAAATTTCACACTTTAAACCAAGCAAATGTGACAGGTTCTATCGGGAATAGTTTGACATTTTGGGAGAAAATGCTTATTTACTTCCTTAACCTCCTAAGACCCAAACTCTTCCACAGCATGCATCTTTAATTCCTCTTTGATATTTGGGCATATCGGGGCCCGATGAATGTAAAAACAAAGAAATACCAGATTTTTTTTTTGTGGGGGGGGTTACCTGATTTTTGTTTCTAAGAAAAATGAGGGCCACAAATGAGGATATTCGTTTAAAATTTCGACAGAAGAGTAGCAGTATAATGTCCTCGTAAGTGGATATCAGGCCCTTGTAGAGCAAAATTGAGTATTTGGGTCTAAATAACCAAAAATGTGATGTCCACATATGTGGATGCCAGGTCCTAGGAGGTTAAGAAGAGTTGGAAAAGAGTTTAATACTACTATGATGTCTGTCAAGTGTGTGTGAAGATAATATAGATGGTAGAGACTTCTAGTACTTTGCAAAGCTCTTGAGCTGCGCTTCATTTCTTTGTCTGGCTGCTTGGAAATAAATACAGACAGACTTTATTTTTTTAGAGGTGTAACTTCAAAAGTTCTCCAGGCTTTTCTTTGGCATGAAATTGGCTGCTTTTTCACTTAATTTCAGTCCAGTCCTTCTACCTGACCATTTTCAGAGGAATGTTCATTTTGTAATACTGACCTATGAATCATTCAAGAATAAAAAAGGCACCTAACTCAAGAGATTAACCAGTGTAATAGACAACTTGGTGAAGAACCAATTTAAATTGTACCTTTAGGCAGTTTGTTAATAGCAGCCTGTCACTTGATTTGTTTCCATTTCCAGTTTGACAGATATGAAACCGTATTTTTAGACCAACAAGGTGACTCCTAAAGAGCTATTAGCAAAAAATACTGGCATGTCTTGGCATGGTGTTCAGTGTGGCCTTAAAATATTTGAGGAAAAAAGAAGTGGCAGACGTAAAACTACAGCAGATGAACAGCATTTGAAAGTCCTGTCCTTAAGAAATTGGAAAAATCCAGCAAAGACCTGGCCCTTCAGTTGATCCGTCTTCACTGAAGCCTCATCAGAAATTATCTTAGTGCTCTCTGTAGCTATCGAGAAGCTATTTTTAAGGAAGGGGGGAAATGGAGAAAAGACCGAGGTATGCAAGAGCTGGACTGAAAATCATTGGCAAGAGGTCTTACGGAGTGATGAATGAAAATCTTCAGATTTTGGTTAATTATCAATAAATACCATGGAGGTCAGAAGAAAGATGCAAAAATAAGTGTCCAACAATCACTTAACTGCGTTCTGTCATGGTTTGAGGCAGCGTTTCAGCCAGTAGTTTTGGGGATCTTGTCAAAATTGATGGAATGCCAAAGTACTGTCAGAGCCACAGCTTAATTATTTTTTTTTTTAGCAATGCAGTAAAAGCATACCTGACAGAGTAATACTATCAGTTGTGGATTGGGCTTCTCACAGCCTGGACGTCAACATTATTGAAGCAGCATTATTGAACAGAACAAAAGGCAGCCAACATCCAAAGAAGAGTGTTGAATGTCCTTCAAGAAGCCTGGAGAACTGTTCCTGAAAACTTAAATAACAAGAAAGCTGCTTAAGAGAGTTCAAGCTGTTTGCAGCTTTAAATAAAACACTACCTGTTTACCAAATTAATTGCAAAATAGTAAGAAATGCAGGGCGTATCAAGACTTTTGCACAGTCCTGTAGCTTTTTTTTTAGCTCAGTAGCTTTTAGCTTACCTTTGCCTGAAGCTTGCCTAACTCTTTCTGATGGTTAGAAAATAATTAAGAGGACACTAATACTTTAAATTTCTTCTATTGTTTTTTTTAAAGATTGATTTCGTAGTGAGTTCTGGAAATATTAGCCAACATGTTTGTTATCGTTGGACCAAGCTAGGCTAGCTGTTAGTTTCAGTTTACAGACAGATATGCTTCCAGTGATCTAATCCAGCTTCCTGTAAATTAGCAGTTTTCCCAAAATTATTGAAGTCTAGGAATACATAAGACTTTATTTACACTAACACAACTGACCCCCAGTCAGCTACATGTACTACATGTAATGTATTTACATTATTTGTGTCACGTCACTTTTCATTCAATGTATAACTTGACGGAAAACATGCTGGCTTTCACATCCCCCCCTTTTAATTTGCCAGCAACACTTCCATCCTACGAATACCGCTCCCTCAATGCATTATTATTTTTATTTATTTAGTTATTTTTGTTGTCAAAAAAGGTGGAAAACACCAATCCTACCACACTCTTAGACTCAGCAGCATCTGACAACATTTAGACAAGTGCTCAGATAATTTCAGAAAGGGAGGTGGGTGCCTGGTTGACCTGTGCGCCACCTATGCAAATACTGCCCTATGCTCAGTCCCTTTCAGTGGATCAGAGGAGTCATACCCAAACAGCCCCAGGGTAAGTGGAGATGCAGTAGCGATGGGGGTGTTTGCTAAACATCCAGTTTAGGAGCAATAGCGGCTGGTCACCAACAAAAGAGGCCCAAAAGGTTCTTATCAGAATTCGTCCTCAGAGCTGTCGGCCAGCAGCATGGCTTGGTCCTGACGGCTGGTGCCGGGTTCTCGGGGTTGCTGGAGAGGGAAAAATCATTTTAAGGTTGAGCTTATGCATTTAAGATCCACAGAGACCTGCTCCATGTGACTGGTCAACAATAACGAGTGAAAACAAGAAAGTAAGTTATTGACCTCCTGCTGTCTGACCTTCCTCCTCTGGTGTTTAAAGCTGTTCCTCCTCTTGCGGTGAATCATCCTGATGCTGTAGAGGGCGCCAACAATTAGCAGGGCCCCTGTGATACCGATACCCACAGGGGCCAACATCCCGGACACGTAACCCGCCTGTAGAGGGTGATGGCATAGAGGTCAAACCCAAACCTATCCATCCATCATCTTTCACCATCTTCCACTTATCCGGGGCTGGTTCATGGGGGCAGCATTCTCAGCAGAGAAGGCCAGACCTCCCTCTCCCCAGCCGCCACCTCCCGCTTATCCACCCCCAACCCTATACAGATTAGCTAACATACTGTAGTTGATTATGAAAAATGACCTAAGCATTCTTTATTAAGTATACCTGGCACGAATCTATATTTTGATCGTCATCAAACTATTTTAACTGTGCAACCCACTGAAAACTATGAACATGTAACAAATATTTACACTATGCACCTTAAAGAAAACCCTGGCAGCTCAAAAGAAAAAGATATATCAGTGAGTCATCCGTCACCTCAAGGCAAGGTAAAAGAAAAATTGACCTTTTTTACAGACAGCAGAGGGTAGGCTTACCTTTTCTCTGATTAGCTCCACCCAGCTACGCACTGGGAGAAAAGAGACATTCGTTTATCAGAGCAACAGATCTGAAAATTGATAAGCTGAAAATTTCTTTATTTTTGTAGGTCTTTTATAAGAGGGCAACACATGTTTGCAGAAGTGCTAATACTAAAAGTTATGTCCCACTGCTGATTAAAAATATGGGTTAGAAATTGTGTTCTCATACTCAGCCCCTGGTTGCGTTGAACCCAGACGGGAGGTGGTGGGATGAGACTGTATGGAGGCTGCGTCGAGGATGTTTTAGATGTTTCTGTTTGGTCTTCTTCACTGTCTTCTTCCACCGATTCCTCAGAGTTCTCAAAGTCATCTTCCAGGTCCTCTGTGGAGAATAATGAAAAATCATCCAGGAGCGTTGGAGGATGTACAGAGGGACACGTGTTATGACTGAACATGAACATTTTCGCAAATGGAGTGGCTTGTAGGTGGCATTTAAAAAATTTTCCTACCCTCAGAGTCCATCTCCTCTGATGTGGATTTGTGTGCTGGCTGATGGGTTGTCATGGTTACCATTGTCATTGCTTGCTGGAAAGATGAGAGGGAGGGGCCGGCCGAGGACACGTTGTCTTCCAGGTTTAGTGTCCTCGCAGAGACTACGTTTGCTAAATGAAAAACAGAATAAGAGGACAGCAGGAGCAGTGTGAGCACAGCTGTACGTGTTTGCAGGAGCGCAACTTCAAAAGCCATGCACAGTATACAATACTGCTGTCTCTGCAGCTGTTGGGTCAATTCATGCCACAATGAAGTGGTAGTGATGAAAGATTCAACCACTTTGTCAGTGTCAGACGGAGTCTGGCAAGAAGCAAACTTAGAAAAGGTAAATGTAAACGTGAAACCTACCAATAAAGGCCAAAAAACTTCACCTCCACCCACCGAGGCGACTTCACACAGAGAAAATGTTCAGTGTTGTTGAACAGTTAAAATTTCTGATCCCTATTATAGTTCTACTTTGGCACCACCATGAAATACTTTTAATTTGTAGGAAA